CTAAAAATCCAAAATTATCTGAGCATGGTGGCATATACCTATAGTCCCAGCTACTCGGGAGTCCGAGGCAGTAGACTTGCTTGATTCCGGGAGGCGGAGGTTGTGGTGAGCCCAGATCGCACCACTGCTCTCCAGCCTGGGCAACAGAGTGAGACTTTACCTCAAAAAGAAAAGAAAATAAAATCAGGAAATAGGAATCATCAGGGTTACTCTAGAGTCAGTCTCCCTGAAAGGCAGAGGCAGGTGATGGGACACACACAGAGTCTAAATTAGGGTGGTGTTAATGCAAATAGAAAAGTCAGATTCAAGAAATTATGTCTAGAAAGTATTATTTCTTGTGTATACCATGTGAAGTTCTTTGTGTACATTATCTAACATATGCATCAAAATATTTAAGGTAGGTGCAAGGAAAATCCTTATTTCACAGATGATGACACAGCTTTGGGATGTTAAGCACCTAGAGGTCACATATATCCTAGCTTCACATCTGGGTGTCCCAGCCTAGATCCGAACCTAGGATGTCAGTGTGGACGCTCAGTCTTGGCCACTCTTCTTTACTTGTACTTAAAAGTATAAAGGACCTAAGAGAAGTGGATAAGAGGAAAAGGAAGATAATCCAAGATTTTAAACCATTCTAATTTAGGGAAAGGTGGTGTTAACTAAAATAGAAATGTCATGAGGGGCACTAGTAAAGTAATACTTATGCTACGCATATACCACATGCCAGGCAGTGTGCTAAGCACTGAGTATGCAGAAGTTCTGTTGCTTATGCAAATGGAAATATTTAATGTTCCTAACAGTCCATGATACAGTCCTTTCCCTGATTTTACAGATTGGGAAACCAGACCATGTCAGTGCCCACTAAACTCAACATTTTGTAAATGCGCTGGTTATTTTGTTCATAGCTGTTATCTCTGACATTATGTCTCACACATGAAAATGTTATATAAGTTTTGGAATGAATGTAGCTAGTAAGTGGCAGAGTCACGTTTTGAACTCAGAGCAGCTCCATGCTCCCTCCTGGAGAAGTCATTTCATTGTAGTTACATTGCATTTGAGCCATGGCTGGATATAGCTGTTCATAGTAACTCTGCTATTTTAGGTATTTAAGTACCTAAATTCCATCAGTGGAACCTGGGAGAAAGATCAAGGCCATAATAAACTATTGAGGACCATCCACATGGAAATTATAAAGTCCTAAAATTAGATGAGATGATTATGAGGGTATAGATCCCAAAATAGAATCTTAGAGGACACCTATATTTAGAGGTTGAGAAGAGGAAGAGGCACTGTAAAACGCAATGAATACATATAGGTCAGAGAGCTAAAAAGGAGATATGGATATAAAAGCAAAGAGGGAAGAGAAGGAAGGAGAGTTGCCAGCAAATTCCAAGCACCACAGAGTAATCAGAGCATCAAGATTAAGACAAGAAACCTGAAATTGGAGACTAGGAAATAACTGATTACTTTCATGTGAACATATCCAGGAAAAGAGACAATATAAGAGTTAGACAGCATCTGGGAGGGTGGAAGAGTTGGGCTGTGAAAGGAGGAGTATGTAGTCAGGAAAAACTCATGAGTATAAACTTCTGGTATTTCAGGAGAGCTAGTTGTACGAATATGAGAAAGGTTGAACATTTGAGTAGGAGAGACATTGTGTATTGTAGAATGAAGGGAAGGCTCAAGTAGGAAGAAACTAAACAGGGCAGGAAAAGAAGAGATACTGGTGGAATGTGATCGAAGAGGAGGCAGAAGAATGAGATGCAAGACCACTGATAAGAAGGGCAGTCCTTAGGGTGAGACACATGTACCCCTGGAGGGAGGAAGGAAGCCTACCTACAATATTTTGTCAAAAGCTTTTTTTCTCAAGTATTGAGAAAAATATAGAAAAGTAGAAGTCGATGGAGAAAAACTGATGTTTAAGTTAATGATCGTCAGTTCCTTAAATGGAATTCCAATTGTTAAAATATCTGTTCTTCAGATTCAAATGTATCAAGTCCTCCAAAGCATCTCCAGATTCCTGGTTTTATTTTACTTTTCTCAACTAAAATTGATAAATTTTCTCCAAAAAAAGGAGGTAAGTTCATCTACATAGGAAACAGAAGGAAAGATTTCAGGACTATAAGATGGTAAGAAATATTTTAATTAAGAAACATTTTAATTAATTGAGTCAATAGTTAACAGAAGTTTACTCAATGTCTACTCTAAGATAAACAGATAATTCAGTAGAGAAGACAATAAAGGATAAAATAAGCATCATTAGAGAACCAACTGAGATGCAATAGCGTGAACTTTTAATAGAGCCCAACAGCATGGTTTCATAACACTGGTCAGTTTCTGAGAAGTGGTTGTTGAAAGAAGTTAATAATGCTATACCAGGTTGAGAACTCAAATGGTGAAAACAGCAGGAAAAAAAAAGAGGGAGAATGGATTCTAGAGGCCAGTGAAGACAGTATATACCTCATTGTATTGTGTTTCCCATCACTGCACTTCACAGACGTTGCATTTTGTTTTACAAACTGTAATTTTCTGGCAGCCCTGCATCAAGCCAGTCTACTGGCACCATTTTTCCAACAGTATATGCTCGTTTAGTGTCTTTGTGTCATGTTTTGGTAACTCTCATATTATTTCATACTTTTTCATTATTATATCTGTTATGATGATCAGTATTCTTTAATGTTACTATAATTGTTGTGGGGCATCACAAACTGCACCTGTATATAAGACGTCAAACTTAATTATAAATGTCGTGTGTGTTCTGATCATGGCACCAACCAGCCATTTCCTTTTTTGTCTCCCTCTTCTGGGGCCTCTCTATTCCCTAAGATACTACAGTTAATAACTCTACAATGGCCTCTAAGTATTCAATTGATAGGAATAGTAGCATGACTTTCACTTTAAATGAAAAGCTAGAAATGATTAAGCTTACTAAGGAAGGCATATTTGAAAGCTGAGATAAGCTGAAAGCTAGGCCTCTTGCACCAAATAGCCAAATTGTGACTACAAAAGAGAAATTCTTAAAGGATATTAAAAGTGCTACTCCAGTAAACACACAAATGATAAGAAAATGAAACAGCCTTACTCTGATATGAAGAAAGTTTGAGTGGTCTGATAGATGATCAAACCAGCCAGAAAATTCCCTTAAGCACAAGCCTAATCCAGAATAAGTGTCTAATTCCATGTAATTCTGTGAAGACTGAGAGAGATGAGGAAGCTTCAGAAGAAAAGTTTGAGTCTAGCAAAGGTTGATTCATGAGGGTTAAGGAAGGAAGCTGTCTTCACTTCGCACCTTGTTGCAAGGTGAGGCAGCAAGTGCCGATGGAGAAGTGGTATCAAGTTATCCAAAACATCTAGCTAAGATAACTGATAAAGGTGGTGTATTAGTCTGTTATCACACTGCTATAAAGAACTGCCTGAGACTGGGTAATTGATAAGGGAAAGAGGTTTAATTGACTCGCGGTTCTACAGGGCTGGGAAGTCTCAGGAAACTTACAATCATGGAGGAAGGGGAAGCAAACATGTCCTCTTCACATGGTGGCAGGAAAAAGAAGTGTCAAGTAAAAAGGGGAAAAGCCCCTTATAAAACCATCAGATCTCATGAGAACTCACTCACTATCACGAGAACAGCATGAGGGTAACCATTCCCATGATTCATTGGATTTCTCCCACAACATTCTTCAAGATAATGTTATTGTTATTAGAGATTATGGGAACTACAATTCAAGATGAGATTTGGGTGGGATGCAGCCAGATTGTATCCGGTGGCTATACTAAACAACAGATTTTTCAATGGAGATTAATATTCCTTCTGTTGGAAGAACATATCATCCGGGACTCTCACAGCTAGAGAGAAGTCAATGCCTAGCTTCAAAGGACAGGCTGGCTCTCTTGTTAGGATATAATGCAGCTGGTGACTTTTAAGTCGAAGCCAATGCTCATTTGCCACTCCAGAAATCCTAGAGCCATTAAGACGGGCTGAATCTATTCAACCTGTGCTCTATAAATGAAACAACAAAGCCTAAATGACAGCACTTATGTTTACAGAATAGTTTAGTGAATATTTTAAGCCACTGTGGAGACCTGTTCAGAAAAAAAAGATTCCTTTCAAAATATTACTGCTGATTGACACTGGTCACTCAGGAAGTCTGATGGAGATACACAGGAGGTGAATTAAAAATAAATGAATGTGGCAAGAGAAGAAAGGAGGAGGACTGAGCAGGCACCCAAATCATCAAGAGAGGTGGAATGTTATGATGAGTTCATAAATACTATAACAATAGGGCTTGGATGACAAGGTTCAAAGTTAGAGGTTGAAGGAGACAGAACGATAGTCTAAATTGACAATAGGGGATTGGAATGTTTTTGAGGCTGGTGATGTCTTCAGGGGCAATTAAGGTAAATAATTGGAAGTTCGACTTCAGAATTAATCAAACCTTAGGATTCTTTGCTTTACTATGGATTAAGAAGACAAGGTCATCAGGGAGTGACTGGTATCCAAGCAAGAACACAGACCTGGAAGGGAGAGGGTTTCTGGAATCAGAATTGGTTGCTTCTCTCGTCCACCCCATCACCCTTTACAGGTTACCCTTCTAATTCTTAAAATAGTCTACAAAGTGTTATCCCTATTTTTTCTGATGAAAAATATCTCTCTAAAGTTTGAATCCTGTCCTGATTGCAAATTCTACTGCAACATACTGACTCTCAGTGGTATTGAAGTGTTACTGCAGCTTCCAGGGACTAACTAGAAATCATGTCTAATTTATGGGAAATGATTATAAAACATAGCGTCTTTCTTTGTTTTGCTCTTGAATTAGCTTTAAAATTCCTATGTGAGCTTGCAATCTAATACTGCATATTCAGTTGCTATTTTTTTTTTAAGAAAAACATTTTGGACTCTTTTTTGAAGACATTAAGGTATTTCCAAATACATAAATATGATCATATTGAATTTCTGCAACTGTAGCCTAAAACATTAATACTTATATTGCATTATTTTTCAGGTGTGAAAATGAAACCAAGTTCAAAACAGAAGACATATTTTGGGCTTTCAATTTCTGCCCTACGCCATACTCCTGGACTGCACTTTTGGGCCTTATTTTATATCTTGTTTTCTTTGCACCTGGTAAACAAAGGCTTTGTTATTACTGTTGCATTAATTGAATTGCCTCTTTTTAGAGTAGACAAACGATAATTTTACGAACATCTTACATGCTATTTTACTAAAGTTTTTAATGTTTTATTTCTCAGGAATGGGACCAATGCCTTGGACTGTGAATTCTGAAATATATCCCCTTTGGGCAAGAAGTACAGGAAATGCATGTTCATCTGGAATAAACTGGATTTTCAATGTTCTGGTTTCACTAACATTTTTACACACAGCAGAGTATCTTACATACTACGGTAAGAGAATATTTTTTCGAACATAGTTTTTATTTTTATTACTCTATTTTAGATATACTATAATATCATTTGTGATTGAGAGTATGTGGTTATGTTTTGCTGTTAGAAGTATCTCCATGTGGCTTTCTAGTTTTCCAAAGGGCTTGGAAATGTGTCTGGGAAAGAAAAGATGGATTCTCCTATCCTAAACAGCATTGCTTCTTGTCCCACAGTGCTTAGGGCTGTCTCCTAACACAGACATCTCCTAGCTATCTCTCCAGGTGGAATTCTTTACAGCATAGTTTGTAGTTTCACTGAAACCTAAAAAACAGAAAATTGTAAAAAAGATGTAGGCAGGGAGTCTAGGGCCAGTGAGATACCCTGTGACAGGGATAGCATCAAGACCAAGAGCAGAATCTGAGGAGGGCTGAAAGTAGCTTCCCCAGAATAAGTACCTAACAATATTCTGTGCTGTGGCCATACCTTCTACGGTATCACCTGTGCTGCTCAGGCCAATGGATGTGCATTTCAGTGTCCTCTGAGACCAGCACTTATCACTTGCAAAAGTGTAAATATGACAGAACTGTTCAAATGCAAATGTGTGGGGACCATAATTCAAAATAAAAAAGAATAGTGCTTAGAGGCTGAGTCAGGAAAATACTTTGGGGAGCTACTTGAAATCTACTTTTACTAATGTGAAAAGACTGCTTTTTAGAAAAAAAGATTTCTGCATTGATGACATGACTTTATAGGTTGCAATAGGATTATTCATGGTGTGAATTTTCATTCTAATCTCCTCCTAATCCCTGTGGTGGAGGTGGAATGCCTGCTGCTTAGACCATTCTCCCAGAAGACCTTCTCTGATCTCCCCACAGTCCCAGTTTATTCTGTGTTCTGGGCACTTATCAGTCCTCATTGCAAGAACAGGTTTGTCTGCCCCCAGCTCCCTCTACTAGAGGGAGATTTACTACATAAATCCCTGGAGGGCCAGGACTGTGCCTTGTTCATTGTTACATTCCCTATCACCTGATAAGCATTGAAAAGTATTTTTCTTTTTTCTTTTTTTTTTTGTTTTTTGTTTTTTGTTTTTTTTTGAGACGGAGTTTTGCTCTTGTCACCCAGGCTGGAGTGCAATGGCGTGATCTCGGCTCACCGCAACCTCCACCTCCTGGGTTCAGGCAATTCTCCTGCCTCAGCCTCCTGAGTAGCTGGGATTACAGGCACACGCCACCATGCCCAGCTAATTTTTTGTATTTTTAGTAGAGACGGGGTTTCACCATGTTGACCAGGTTGGTCTCGATCTCTCGACCTTGTGATCCACCCGCCTCAGCCTCCCAAAGTGCTGGGATTACAGGCTTGAGCCACCGCGCCCGGCCGAAAAGTATTTTTCAAATGAATAAATACATCAGTAATTGTTTTATTATACTTTAAGTTCTGGGGTACATGTATATGCAAAACATGCAGGTTTGTTACATTGGTATACATGTGCCATGGTGGTTTGCTGCATCCATCACCCTGTCAACTACATTAGGTATTTCTCCTAGTGCTATGCCTCCCCTAGTCCCCCACCCCATGATGGACCCCAGTATGTGATGTTCTTTTCCCTGTGTCCACATGTTCTCATTTTTCAACACCCACCTATGAGTGAGAAAGTGTGGTGTTTGGTTTTCAATTCTTGTGTCACTTTGCTGAGAATGATGGCTTCCAGCTTTATCCATGTCCCTGCAAAGGACATGAACCCATCCTTTTTTATGGCTGCATAGTATTCCCTGGTGTATATGTGCCACATTTTCTTCATCCAGTCTATCATTGATGGACATCTGGGTTGGTTTCAAGTGTTTGCTATTGTGAACAGTGTCATAGTAAACAAATGTGTTCATATGTCTTTATAATAGAATGATTTATGCTCCTTTGGGTATATACCCAGTAATGGGATTGCTGGGTCAAATGGTATTTCTGGTTCTCAGTCCTTCAGGAATTGCCACTGTTTTCCACAATAGTTGCACTAATTTATACTCCCACCAACAGTGTAAAAGTCTTCCTATTTCTCTACATTCTCTCCAGCATCTGTTGTCTCCTGATTTTTTAATGATGACCATTTTAATTGGTGTGAGATGGTATCTGAATGTGGTTTTGATTTGCATTTCTCTAATGACCAGTGATGATGAGCTTTTTTTCATAGGTTTGTTGGCTGCATAAATACCTTCTTTTGAGAACTATCTGTTTATATCCTTCACCCACTTTTTGATGCAGTTGTTTTCTTCCTATAAGTTTGTTTATGTTCTTTGTAGATTCTAGATCTACCCTTTGTCAGATGGGTAGATCGCAAAAATTTTCTCCCATTCTGTTGGTTGCCTGTTGACTCTAATGACAGTTTCTTTTTCTGTGTAGAAGCCCTTTAGTTTAATTAGATACCAGTTGTCTAATCTGGCTTTTGTTGCCATTGCTTTTGGTGTTTTAGTCATGAAGTCCTTGCCCGTGCCTATGTCCTGAATGGTATTGCCTAGGTTTTCTTCTAGGGTTTTTATGGTGTTAGGTCTTATGTTTAAATCTTTAATCAATCTTGAATTAATTTTTGTTTAAGGTGTAAGGAAGGGATCCTGCACATGGCTAGCCAGTTTTCCCAGCTTTCTGCACATGGCTAGCCAGTTTTCCCAACACCATTTATTAAATAGGGAATCCTTTCCCCATTGCTTGTTTTTGTTATGTGTGTCAAAGATCAGATGGTTGTAGATGGGTGGCATTATTTCTGAGGCCTCTGTTATGTTCCATTGGTCTGTATCTCTGTCTTGGTATGAGTACCATGTTTTTTTGATTGCTGTAGCCTTCTCGTATAGTTTGAAGTCAGGCAGCGTGATGATTCCAGCTCATTTTGCTTAAGATTGTCTTGGTTTTGTGGGCTTTTTGGTTACATATGAAGTTTAACATGTTTTCCAATTCTGTGAAGAAAATCAGTGGTAGCTTGATGGGGATAGCATTGAATCTATAAATTACTTTGGGCAATATGGCCATTTTCATGATATTTATTCTTCATGTCCATGAGTATGGACTGTTTTTCCATCTGTTTGTGTCCTCTCTTATTTTCTTGAACAGCGGTTTGTAGATCTCCTTGAAGAGGTCCTTCACATACATTGTTAGTTGTATTCCTAGGTATTTTATTCTCTTCGTAGCAATTGTGAATGGGAGTCCACTCATGATTTTGCTCTTTGTCTGTTATTGGTGTATAGAAATGCTTGCGATTTTTGCATACTGGTTTTCTATCCTGAGACTTTGCTGAAATTGCTTATCAGTAAGGAGATTTTGGGCTGAGACGATGGGGTCTTGTAAATATATAGTCGTGTCATCCTCAAATAGAGAATTTGACTTCCTCTTTTCCTAATTGAATACGCTTTATTTCTTTTTCTTGCCCAATTCCCCTGGCCAGAACTTCCAATATTATGTTGAATAAGAGTGATGAGAGAGGGCATCCTTATCTTGTTTTTAAAGGGAATGCTTCTAGTTTTTGTCTATTTACTATGATAATTGGCTGCAGGTTTGTCATAAATAGCTCTTATTATTTTGAGATACGTTCCACTGATACCTAGTTTATTGAGAGTTCTTTGCATAAAGGGCTGTTGAATTTTGTTGAAGGCCTTCTCTGCATCTATTGAGATAATCATGTAGTTTTTCTCTTTGGTTCTGTTTATGTGATGGATTATGTTTACAGATTTGCATATGTTGAACCAGCCTTGCATCCCAGGATGAAGCTGACTTGATCATGATGGATAAGCTTTTTGATGTGCTGTTGGATTTGGCCGCCCAGCATTTCAGTGAGGATTTTTGCATCAATGTCTATCATGGATATTGGCCTGAAATTTTCTTTTTTAGTTGTGTCTCTGCCAGGTTTTGGTATCAGGATGATGCAGTTCTCATAAAATGAGTTAGAAAGGATTCCCTCTTTTTTTATTGTTTGGAATAGTTTCAGAAGTAATGGTACCCGCTCCTTTTTGTACCTCTGGTAGAATTCGGCTGTGAACCCCTCTGGTCCTGGGCTTTTTTTGGTTGGTAGGCTATTAATTGCTGCCTCAATTTGAGACCTTGTTATTGGTCTATTCAGGGATTCAACTTCTTCTTGGTTTAGTGATAGGAAGGTGGAAGTGTCCAGGAATTTAGCCATTTCTTCCTAGATTTACTGGTTTATTTGCCCAGAAGTGTTTGTAGTAATCTCTAATGGTAGTTTGTATTTCTGTAGAATCGGTGGTGATATCCCATTTATCATTTTTTATTAAATCTATTTGATTCTTTTCTCTTCTTCATTAGTCTGGCTAGTGGTCTACTTTGTTGATCTTTTCAGAACACCAGCTCCTGGATCTATTGATTTTTTTGAAGAGTTTTTTGTGTCTCCTTCTCCTTTAGTTCTGCTCTGATCTTAGCTATTTCTTGTCTTCTGCTAGCTTTGAATTTGTTTGCTCTTGCTCCTTTAGTTCTTTTAATCATGACATTAGGGTGCTGATTTTAGATTTTTTCCTCCTTTCTTTTGTGGGCATTTAGTGGTATAAATTTCCCTCTAGACCATGCACATGGATAAATTTTTGTAGATGAATGTTGAATATGATGAAACATTATAAAAATCTATTCCCTGCCTCTTCTGAACATGCTGAATTGGTATTTGCTTTTGGTTAATAGTATTTATCTAATGATTTTATTATGTTCATAAAACTCTTCTCTCTCCTAATCACCACTTAGGACATTTGAAAATACTTATTTTCTTGGAAAGGAAATGCACTGGCATTTTAAACTGGATATATATTTATTATATTCAGCTGGATCCCATTTGGCAATTAAGATTTTTCTATAAATTCATGAACTTATCTTCATGACATAATAAATATGAGCACAATAAGTATTTCCTTGTTTACCGATTCTTGAGAACACTTAAATATTTGAAGACCTAAATACATGCTGGCATACTGAGAAAGCATTCTTCATAGAAAGACATAGACCAAATAATAAAAGTCTACATGATTATATTATATTTTTGA